AAGATAACTGGGGATCTGAAATTTTCAGGAAAGTTTAATCCAACTCGAACCCACGGCCTTTCCTTCAGGTGCTGGCAAACCTTCGCAATCCACGATTACATCAAACGAATAACCTTTTAAATACGCTACACGTACTAACGAGATTTGATCGTGGCTCGCGAGGGCGCTCTCCTATAATTACAGGGGGATTAACACTTGAATTAATTAAATTAATACTTTATCGATTTACATGTTAAACGCGTATCGCTAGAGGGCTCTTTATTTCCTATCTAACGCTCTCGTAGACCGGCAGCGTACGTTTTGTGTGTGTTATATGTACGAGTGTATGAGTGTATTATATAATCGTCACGTTGCGCGTATCCGCAGGGTGCTCGGATAAAAAGTTCCATCATAGATAGAATCGATAATTCGCATAATCACTGCTGAAACTACGTGTTTTAGTTTACGTGATTTAAATGCGCGAGGACGCGCGAAAACGCGCAAAGTTGCAAAAGTGTACGAGCATTTTCCTTGAACTTTCTTAAGGCCGTCATACTTTTTAGCACGACATGTGGGATCCGTGTGCACCGAGTAACAAAAGGAATCGACAAAACGTGCGAAGTAGAGAACACATTCCGCAAGCTTCTCGCGAGCTTTCTGCGCTCGTCGGTCCATAAAATCGAGGTATCGATCGTGCTCATACAAAGGGATTCCGCTTTGCTCTTCGATCCACGATTTTATCGGATTCGCCGACACATTCGGATGAAGCTTGGCAAACGGAGCAAATGTTTACGACTATGTTAACCCGAACGACATGTGCAGGCATATGCAGATTCGAGATAGAAAAAATAAATTTACATTTATTCTCTTTTTCTCCTCAAAGAAGATTAGTTTTATGTAACTTTCAGAATTGAGGGATGTAGAATTTTATTCTTTTTTTACAGATACTAATGCGACGTGTTTTTATTCTGTTTTTTTTGTAAGTAATAAACTGATTTTAAGGCTCCTGGGTAGTCACCGCAGCCATATTAGATTCGTGACGTCAGAAGCGAGAAATGACACGCCGAGAATTCTTGCGTGCCATTTCTAAATAAAATGATAATTTAACAAAGTAACACTCTAGATCGCTTTAAGACACCTGTAAAATTGTCCGAAAACTATGCTTTTTCCTTGACAGGTTATAAACAATCGTTAAATCAACCGTGAAGCGAAGCCTAATTATGCGAGAAAACACACGGTTGACAGCTGTCTGTATGAGTAGAAAATACTCCTTCTACGTTGGGCTTTCCCTGCTAATCTTAGTTTTCGGATAATTTTACAGGTTTCATGAACACGTCACATATCACAGCACTAACATTTAACGAATATTAACGAAATGGCACGCAAGAATAAATTGGGTAGTCAACATGTCATTTTTTCACGTCTAATAGTTCATCGATTCTCCACCTAAGACGCTGCATGAGAATTTCTGTCATATGGACATGTCGG